ATCTACTTCTGCTTCATTGACTACGCAAAAGCCTTTGACTGTGTGGACCACAACAAACTATGACAAGTTCTTAAAGTAATGGGAGTACCTGACCACCTTATCTGTCTCCGGAGAATTCTATATGTGGGACAGGAAGCAATAGTTAGAACTGGATATGGAACAACTGATTGGTTCAAAATTGGGAAGGACAGATCCTGAAGCTGAGGCTCCAATACTTTGGCCATCTCATGAGAAGAGAAGACTCCCTGGAAAAGACCCTGAGGTTGGGAAAATGTGAAGGCAAGAGGAGAAGGGGACGACAGAGGACGAGATGGTTGGACAGTGTCACCGAAGCTACTAACATGAATTTGACCAAACTCTGGGAGGCAGTGGAAGACAGGAGGGCCTGGCATGTTCTGGTCCATGGGGTCACGAAGAGTCGGACATGACTTAACGACTAAACGACAAGATTGATTGATTGCTAAACTGCTCTTTTTCTAGTGGATTCTAGGGTGATGTACAGCACATATAAACTTTATTTAAACAAACACATAATTATGTGAAATACATAGTTCTGAGGATCAAGATGTCAACGCTGGTGTCTATCATATTCCACTGGTACAATGACCACCTTATAAATGCTTTTAATATATATAGTGCTTGGAGACATTACGGCCTGAGCCCTTCATAGTCTTTGCAACCTTTACCCAAATCTGCTCACTTGAAAGTACTTTTTTTGTTGTTTAAGAAAAAAAAGAACCATTGGTATAACTACTCCTGTGCAGCTTGTATAACTAGTTGTTAGGAACCAAGTTGCTATTTTTATCTCATTGCTTTATCCTTTCTGCTGGAAAAACAAGTAGCAGCATCTTTTGCCTTCCTGTACATTCAATAATAGCTGGCTGGATGGCTCTGCGATTTTAAGTATCTGGCTTTGGAGCCAGAGGTTGGGAGTTCCATTCCCCCACTGTGCCTTCTGCAAGAGGAGTCAGACTAGTTTTGCACAGGCTGCATAGTCTCAGAGGACCCCCAGAAGAAAGAAATGGTAAACCACTTCTGAGTATTCTCTCCTTGGAAAGGATCACCATAAGTCAGAATGGACTTGATGGCACAAGATGATGATAGTCAATAAAGGATTGTGGAATTTAAAAAGGAAACGTTGTTCAGCTCTTTGGGACCATGAGGATGAGAAATAATTGTATTCCCGAATTGTCTGTATTATTTCTTACAATTGTTATGGATTTTGGATAGGGCAGCACATTGCATTTTTCTGATTGGTTAAGCGTAAATATGGCAGGACAAGGGAAGTGCCTGATAGTGAATTGGGGAAGGGGTTGATTTCCATTTAGATCAGAAGATGAAAGCAGAGTTATGTTGACTAGAGAGGATTTCAGGAGTCCAGAAAAATAATTTTTCCTGTCTCTTCTTTCTACTTTTCCATCCTCATTGTGTGTTTTTCTCCATCTTCTTGCAGAGTTTCATCTTCATGACTGTGGTGTACTTTGGCCCCCTGACCTGCTCAATTGTCACGACGACCCGTAAATTCTTTACCATTTTGGCTTCAGTTATCTTTTTCGCTAATCCTATCTCCAACTTGCAGTGGGTGGGCACCATCCTGGTATTCCTTGGTAAGTTGCCCTTTGGCACACCATTCTGTTTCTTTGTTGGGGCATGACGCTCATCTCTTAACAAAATTCCCAAAGCAGCTCAGCAAAGACCAAAGTCTACTGGTTACGTAGCATCTGCTTTTGTACAGCAGCCTCATTAGTCTCTCCATATGAGATCGTCCTTGGCTTGTGTACTGTTTTAAAATAACAACAAAATAACAAATGCAGCAAAATATCTAGCCACTTCCAATGGACAATATTTCCCATGTATTCCAGCCCCTAAACTGCAAAACAGGAGCCAGGCTTCCTCTTTCCATTTTTACTGTGGGAGCTGACCCTGAAGTGTATTCCAGCCCCTAAACTGCAAAACAGGAGCCAGACTTCCTCTTTCCCTGAAGTATATGATGTCTTCTCTGAGTTTTGCCTGAAGTACAGTACTCAGGAACCACAGCTTTTATCACCCTTCCAATCTCTGGCTTAATCAGGGGTCAAGAGAGTTGCAATGGAGACAAGCTGCTAAGCCAGTGGTTGCCAACCTTGGGTAACCCAGGTATTCTTGGACTGCAACTCCCAGAAACCCTGACTAATGCACATCTGGTGGTGAAGGCTTCTGGGAATTGCAGTCCAAGAACACCTGAGTTACCCACAGTTGGGAATCACTGTGCAAAGGCATTTTTTCAGGATTTGTTTTGGTAATCGAAGAAGAGAGAGAGAGAGATCTGCATGTGTGAAAAAGAGAGAGAATAGAAGGATAAATAACAGGTAAAGAAAGTAGAGAGAGAGAGAGAGAGAGAGTATATCTGCATGTGTGAAAAAGAGAGAGACTAGAAGGACAAATAACAGGTAAAGGAAGGGGTGGTCCTGCTCCCTCTTGGCTTCAGCCCTGCCTTGTGGCACTGCCTTGTAGTCTGCAGTCTTTTCGTAAGAGGCAAAGTGGCCCTTGGTCACTCCAAATTTTCCCAACCCTGGACTAGAACGATCTGCCACAAGACTCGGTTCAAGATGCCTGTTCTGTCCTTCAGAGCGCTAAAGAACTGGACAGAGAGTAATTTAGGAATCAATGCCTTCCATTGAAACTATCTTGAGAATGTCATTCTTCTTCTGGGGTCATTCTTTCTAGTTCCTTGACAATGGATACAGAGAGCCTAGAGGTGGGGGACGGGGGAAAGAGTAGCCTTTTGGGTGTGGCCTTCAGCATGCAAAACAGCCTCCCTGAAGAGGGACCAGTGATTCCTCCTTGGCTATGTCTAGATGAGTCTGAGGACTTCCCTGTTTCCTTCAGCATTTTGGGGGAGATAAAATGACATAATAGTTTTGTATCCTGCAATTTTTTAAAACTGATTTTAATGAATTTCAATTTATTATGGTATTGTTATTGCAAGCAATCTTGAGAATACACAAGAATAGAAAGGCAGGATATATTTAGTAGAATGAATTAATTAACACATTTTAGATAGCAGAACCATCTGGCACTTCAGCCTCTCAGACCACGGTGCTGAGAGAGAGAAAAGTGCCATTTGACCTCTGCTTGTGCTCGTCTCATAAACTGCATGTGTCTATCTGCGCTGAGATACATACAGATAATATACATATAACTGTGCACAAAGAGAAAAATGCGGCAGAAATAATTGTGGTAAAATAGTTTTGCTTCCCCTTTTAGCTGCTCTGACATGAATCAAAAGGAGAAAAGTGTTTGCATGTCTGTGTTTAGATAGGGGTGAATACCCTGTAGCTCCCCCAAAAGCCATTTTTATCTCTTTCCCCACGAATTTCCAAAGATATTTTTGCTCAGACATAAGAACTGTTGATCTCAGAAGCATTTGGGATCAAAGGTTCTCCTCTAGATCAAGGTACCCTTACTCACATCCTTCGTTCTACCTGGAGAGCCCCCTTTTGTTTGTTCTGAAAGTAGACGTCACTTATACAAAACTAGAAATGCTCCTCCAGTCACTTCTAATTTCATATAGAGGAGCTGGTGTGTGGCCCCGGAGAGTCTCTAGGCTGGAAAAATTATTTCTGAGTGCTTGGAGCTACTATATCTATCCACAATTATGAATTTTCTCACATTAAGCAGCAGGATTTCAGCCACTATTTTTTTTCTTTCAGTTCATATCAGAACAGCTGTGGGAGCAGAAGCACTGTAAGAGCATTATATCTGTTGTGTCAGATGTTCTTCATGCACACATTGATAGCACCCAACATCTACACACACCATCAAACAATTGGTTGGGGGGGTGATTATTAGTCTAGATCACAAATGACCCCACCTGAAAAAGAGGCAGGTATCTGAACCCCCAAAAGTTGCTGAAGTACCATACATTGTGTTTTGAAGAATGAGGAGGAAAGAAAACCAGAGAGAAATGAAACGGTTGTGTATACATGTGCTAGCACAGAAGGGGAAAGGGAAGGTATTTAAAAGTGGAAAGGCTGACCAAGTACGTCACCCACACAAGCCATGTTACCCACAGAAGCCATGCCAGAGGTATCCCTTCTCAAGCCAGGAACGTTTGCCCAGCTTGAGCAGCCTCCGGACCCAAGGAGAACCTTCAAGGGTATGGATGGGGTCACTAAATGCATGGAATTGTCTGTGGGCCAGTCCCTGAAAACCTTTTCTTTCCTTCTTCTTTCTTTGTAGGGCTTGGACTAGATGCCAAATTTGGGAAAGCATCCAAGAAGACCTCACATTAAGGAGACCTTGGATGGTTCTGTTAGAAACCTCAAGTGTAATGAACTGTTAACATTGTCTTACTCCCTGGCATTTCTTACTGGAGTGGACTCTAGATGAGTGCTAGGAGAAAGGGAATGGGGTTTTATGGGGATGAATTGTTTTTATTCCAAAAATATTGGATTATTATTTTTAATTGAATGTTTTGTTTTAATTCATGTCAAATGGGGTAAACATGATCCACATCTGCTGCCTCCCCACCAGGAATCAAAGCTGGGATTGAGGGATTGGAAAAAAGAGAAATTCTTGGCAGATGAGAAGGGATGCTTTGTAACAAATAAAAAGAAAAGAAAGAGATCTGCCTTGTCACTCCCTTATTAACCTTGTATTTATTTTGGGATGCTGCTGTTGTTTTTATTTTATTACACTGCTCTGCCTGTTTTCCACTAAAAAATAACTTCCAAGGCTAAGGACTATTATAAATGAGCACCACGTGATCTTCCTCTAGCGAGAAGCATTCTGTGTTCACGTTTATATCATGGTTGTCGATGAATCATTAACTTGAAAAGATTTTATTGAGAACTAAATTTCCACATGAGGCCCATTTACAGAGCCATGTTTACTCAAGAGTAAACTGGCCCACTGTGTTCCACAGCACTTACTCCCCAGCTAAGCATACATAGCACTGCAGCCACACACTGGCAAGTTGGAGAATGAAGATCTGATATGCTATGGCTGCCAGCCAACTGTTGCTGTGTGTTCATTTGTGCGGCTTGGGCAATCTCCAGCCTTCTAGCCTCAATTCCCAAAATGCAAAAGTGGGAGTAACAAGAACCTACCAGTCTGATGCAGAAATTCAAATATTTTTCTTCCAGGTGTGAGCATAAGGTAGATCTAGATTTAATGGTAAATCCCTGTTTGATTTTATGGTAGGTCAGCAAATTCTAATTCCTAGTTGTTTACCACTTACAACAACAAATAGGTTGTTTGAATCCAAGCCTAAAATTACCAAAATCCTGAATGCAGTAAATTGCATAGGAGAAAATGCAAAAGAGGGAGTAACAAGAACCTACCAGTCTGATGCAGAAATTCAAATATTTTTCTTCCAGGTGTGAGCATAAGGTAGATCTAGATTTAATGGTAAATCCCTGTTTGATTTTATGGTAGGTCAGCAAATTCTGATTCCTAGTTGTTTACCACTTACAACAACAAATAGGTTGTTTGAATCCAAGCCTAAAATTTAATTACCAAAATCCTGTTACTGAATGCAGTAAATTGCATAGGAGACAGCCCATTGAATCAATAGGGATTTAGTGAGTCAATTCCTCTGAGTTCCATCGAATCAAATGAGTCTATTCTAACTACAGCTTACTTCAACATAGTCTTAAATTAGAGTAGGCCCATCTGAATCGGTGGAACTCACAGAGGAGTTGACTCATCATATCCCCATTGATTCACTGGGCCTACTCTAGTGTAGTTAACTATGCTAAACAGGATTTTGGTCAGTGTGAAACGAAGAACATGGAAGATAAAGACCAGTCAATTTTTCTGTGGAAGAATTAAGATGTCCGTTCCATTATGGTACTGAAAGCAAGCCCCAAAGATCAATCATCTTAATCCAAGGTCTGCATCTGATTCATGATCCTAACTAGAGTTATACTCATTGAATGAACAGAACGTTTTAAGGCAGCATTTATATAAAACTTACTGAGTAATTTGGTCTATTCTAGTTGACACTAAGTGGATGTAGCTAGAAGTGTAAATATTAATAAGGGATGCACTCAGTGATGGATTTAATGTGCTTTGATATCTTTGATATGGAGTGATTTATTCACTCAATAAATCAATGAATTAACTTAATTATCAAATCTGCTTTGATTTGAATTCTTGCATTGAACAGGGGATTAGACTCATTCCAATAGGCCCATTTCAACTCAGTTATTCTGTGATTCTATAAAGTTCAAGCAAAAGAAGTGTTCAGTTGTGTAGCTAGTTACCAGTATATTTTCATGCAAAAACACCTTTCCAATATTGCAGCAACAAACATAAGGAGTGTACAAATGAAATATGACACCATCAAAATGCTGCACTGCATGTCAAATTCAGTAATGATCAGAGTTTGGAAAGCTACTTTAAAAAAATAATAATTTACAGTTGCAAGACTCCTCCAATTAAAGTTACTATTTTTGTTCCATTTTTAAAAAATTATACTTTCTGTCTCAGTTCTTCATTCAGGAGGAGGAGGCACAGCAACAGCACTGACTTGAATGTAATGCTTTTGCCTCTCATTTACTTTGCCTACGCCTTTTTAACTGTAAAAGTCTACATTCTTGTAACTATAAAAGTAACCACAAAGTTACATAACTTGACAAAGGAACTGTTAGGTTATAATTAAAATGTAGTTCTATCTTCAATGTTGGAAAAAGGAGCTAATTACAACTAATTATTTGCAAATGGTCATTTGCAAAGCTCTGGCCCTGCACAGTAATCTGGCCCTGCACAGAAAGAATCAGCTGCTTTGGAGAACATGACAGAAGCTGTACCAAGTTGTGATCTTTCCTCCTCTAATCACAGTATGGACATGTTTTTGGTTCTCATGAGAACAGAGAAAAACTAGAAAGGACTAGACCAAGGCAAGTCATAGACTCAAATAATTAAGCAAGTAGAAGTCCAAATCCCGTATGTTGATCCTTACGATTATATGAGCATCGCTGAGGCCAGCTTGGGCATTGAAAGCTGCCACTTCTATTTCACTGTGTGTTTCTCTGTCTGGCTACAAGATCACAGAGGGAATTGGCTGTACCCAGCTGCAGCCGCCTGCAATGGCTGGCAGCCATTCTATGATCATACAGAATGCTCATTTAGGCTCTGGGCTGTTTGGCAGAAGAATAGTATCATAAAGCCACTTCTAAGAAAAGGAAGGGAAATATGGTCTAGGATGCAGTTCTTGTACAAAATGTAAAAACTGGCTGGAATTTAAAGGTGGGGAGGGAGGTGGCTTCAGATGACTGTTAAAAGTAAAAGGGAGAAACAGAGGCAGTGACTTGGAGGCTTTGGGCTTTAGTGCAGTCAGGTTTTGATCCATTTCTGGTGTAAACTAGGTCGAGTTAGCACCCGAAGACCCTGGAGTTGATCATACCATGACAGTGAGGGGTATATGACTATTCTCTGTCAGTGACACCTTTTTGCATGATCTGGCTCTCCAGCCTAGACCCCAGAGTGTGGGAAAGTACCTTTTTGTACTACAGCTTCCAGAATCTCCTATCAGTTGGCTTGGCCAGTGAGGATTCTGGGATTTCTCAGAAGTTACTTCTACAAGCTTTGAAGGAGGTCTAAATATGTTGTTGTGAAGCTAAAGTGTGGAGAAGGAAAACTATGTGTGCTGCCTTACATGCTCTGGAGGAAAAGTAGAATATAAATGTAACAAATACAATAAATCCTATATTCTTAACCTGTGGTCTGCGGACCTCTGGAGGGCTGCAATGTCCTCACAGCTGGTCTGTGAAGGTTTGAAGCAATGTTATGATCTTTTGCAGTTAAAATAGAAAGAATTACTGTAATGAAAGAAAGAAAAAAAAGAAAAGGAAATAGAGAAAAAAAATTAATTTCCCTTGCTTGTTTATGTAAAACTTGGTTTTTTTAACCTACTGGCTCCATTAAAAACCAACAAAAGTAAAAGTAACAACAACAACAACAACAATAATAATAATTTGTATGGAAGCATTCCAATAAAAATATTATAACAGAAGTATGTGCATTAACACATTTAACTTATTTCTACCTTCTCTCCAAATTTGAAGATCTTTCATGAGAAACTTTAAATAAATATTTGATGCACTTCAGAATTTTAAATCTTGAGTTAAGTCTTAGAGGCTCACAGCAACAAAAGGTATTTAAAGGGGGTAAAGAACAGGTTAAGAACTGCTGCAATAAATGACTCAGGTCAGGGAGCACCAAAAGGAGGGTGCAGTTCCTTAAGCTTCACAGCTGAGGGAAATCATCCTGCCACCCACCCACCCGTCTCTGGTCCGAGGCCAGCCCAAGCCTCTGTTAACAGTACAGTTCTCCAAAATCCCTCTTTTAATTAACGAGCAGCCCCTGAGAGCACCACCATGCCTGCTGCTCTAACCTCCTTCCCTAGTGCTCTAATGGGAAGTTGGGGGGGGGGGACTGTGAGCGTAAGACTGCCTTCGAAGCCAGCACGCCAAACTCTCTGTGGAACAAACTTTACACATGAAAGCGTGTCTCCACCAGCTGTCGCTACCAGCCTCCATCTGCTCTGCGCCTTTGGCCTCTCGCCCTTCCAGATGGGACCTTGATCTCCTCTCCTCTGTGGCTCTGGCAAGTGTGCTCGTCCCCCTCCACTTCCCATCTTTTCCAATTTCTCTCCAGTCATCAAATGACTTTTATAGTAATCTTTCCTGATGTCCCCTTGGTCTCTAGCTCATGAAGGCTCCCACTCAACCCAGTTCTCGCGCCAAAGTCAGCCTTTAAATAAAATAAAATAAAAAAGGACAATGACACTGAATAGTCAAATTGGGAGATCTTGCTCTAAACCTCATCAGCCTGTCCCAACCAATAGGGAAAGGAAGATATTCTCCACTTTAAAGAAAAGCACCTTCTCTCTCTAATGACCTCTGCAAAATTTGGAAACCTATTTCCTTTTAGAAGAGGCATGAGAGCAAAGGGACCAATCTCTGTTTTAAAATACGAAGAAAGCAGGGACACATGTCAGTTGTTTCACTTTTTTTACATTTACTTACTTACTTACTTACAGAAAGAAAGAAAGAAAAAGAAAGAAAGAAAGAAAGAAAAGAAAGAAAGCAGACAAGTTGGTTCTGCCATATGGCAACCCCTCCCAGGGTTTCCTAGATACAGAAAGGGTTTACCATTCCCTTTTAGGGGTGCTCTGGGATTGTATAGCTTTCCCAAGGCCACCTAGGCTGGTGGTTCTTCTACAACGTAGAGGGGAATTGAACTCCTGGCTTCAGTGCTCCGTCTATCTCACTGAACTTGCTTTACTGAAATTGCCCTATAGGAGGTGTTTACTCTCCATCTGGGAATGTTCTGCCTTCACCTCATGATGCCTACTCTGACCTTTTCAAATGCAGAACTGGGAAAACACTCACACACCTCTTGTGCTGTTATCACTGAGGCAAGATAAGAGGTGATTGAAAGCCTAGGAGGCTACTGCATGAAACCGATCTGTGCCTTGCCACCTGGGAAGTGGTTGCATTGAAATGAAATACCCGGGGTGGCCTGAGAAGCTACTGCATGCAGTTCGCTGTGCTTTGCAGCCTGTTATGTATTATAATCCAATGTAAGGCAGGTTTCAGCAGCAGGATAAATGTGTGA